CTTGGTGGCAGTGATGCAAACCTGACAGAAAATGACAAAAGGTCTGCTTTGTTTACAAGAAGCAATGTCTTCTTGTGCTCATCAACCTCTCTGGCATATGCCTATAGCAGGGAAAAAAATTTGAAGCAAAATAAAATTGCCAGCCATCCAATTAAAAACCATCTAATCAAAATAGTTCCTGGAATCCAAAATTTAAGTACATATTCAGATCATGAGTATATTAAGATGGGCATTATTCTCCACGATCATTTGGAAGTCCTGACAGAAATTATTTCATTGAAACATATCAGATCCCTTAAAACAATTTCACAGTATGTCCAACTTCCATTATTTCCTAATAATATCATATAGTCCAAGTAAATTACTATCATTCAGAGAAGTGCAAAACTAAAAATGGTCACTTAAGATGGTCCTTAAACAACTCACACGAGCTGTAGATAATACATGCAGAACATCCTTTTAATTACATCAAGTTACTCTTTAACAATAGAGAATAATATATTACCTCAAGATCAGGGCAGCGATAGAACAAGGGGTCCCGAGCATCAACAACCATCACAAGCTGCAAAAGTAAGCAATGGGATAAGAATTTCTAATTTTCTACAAGGTAGATTTTGTAACAAGAAAAAGATTTGACATAATTTTTTTTTTCCCTGTTGCAACAGAATAAACTAGCCATAATACAAAATTAAGTACAGAGAAATGTGAAACACACATTAAAGACACAAAATCCATAAACACACAAGCTTGCACAGAAAGAAATAGTTAAACAAAGGGAAAGCAATGCCCGATGTAATCCACTAATCTGAATAAATATGATGCAATAAGCTTACCAAATCACTGCGTTCAACTACCCGCCATAGCTGTCTCCAAATATCCAGGTTCTTCTCGAATGGAGTGAGAACAAGCTTTTCATTCTCCTCAAGTCTGCCGCAAACACAATGTATGAGAACATAACATACACCCATAATCATAACACGTGTAACCCAGTTTCAAACTACAATTGACACAATGGCAACAAATCAAATTTAAGTTGTAAATCTGCCATCATTTCTATTTACCCAGTTTGGAATATTGATCCAGTAAAACACCCAGATTTTGACAAGACAAGATTTCACTTTCTAGATAAATGCATATCAAGAAGTCCTTGACCGGTTTGATATACAAGCCTAACTCCCAGTTTAGACTACATCTCATTATTAAAAGTTTTACCAATCAAAATTTTCAGTAGGGAAAATCAGAGGGCAGCATTTTCTTATTTCAGCATATTCAGAAGGCAGAAACAATGATTAAAAATACTGTAATGTTGAGATTTGAGACTCCTGAATCCTGATCATATTATTCTTTACCCCCTCTTTAGGTGGCATAATAAGACAGACAGTGCTTCAATTAAGGTTGTGGCTGTACCTTGCCAGGCCCCGGCGCCAAACTAGAAAAGCTTGTCTTTCATTGGCATCTAGCTCTTCCACAGACATTCTAGAGTTCCATGGTGGCCTGCATAGGAAGCAAAAAGACTTTAGATTCTGATGAAATGCAAAATGACATCTTGATATATTTTATAAGAATAACACATGCCTGCGTGGAACTCGGAGACTGCTAGCATGGAGTGCCTCCTCTTTCTTCTGTTGCTCTCTCCTTTCTTCTGGGGTCATGCTACTAGTGCCAGAACTTGTGTCCCTAATCACATAGAACAGGCATCAGAGAAACTTCAAAAGTCCATTTAAATACCAGTCCCAAAACCCTCAGATCTCATAAGAAAAGAAGCTGTTGAACTTAAAGACAGAACGTGCCAAACAAGCCACTAGTGCCAGAACTTGTGAACTACTATTTATGAGCAAGATGTTATCAAAGAGTCAATGCTGATATATTACATGGAGAAGTAAAAGTTTAAGTATAGAACGTGCTATATCCCCTTATAACAACACTTTATTTGCTGGTATCTAAATGTGTTCCTACTCCCATACTTAAAAACAGAAAACATCTCAAGCTTTAAGTAGCTTCTACTTATTTCCCCCACTTTCTTTTACATTTCTAATTCACAAAGCTTAATTCAGAAATCTGGGAAAACTTCAAACATCCATCAATCTCCGTCCAAAACATTTTGCAATTCAATAACAGCCAAAGGGATCACAAACTATGAATACTCAGAAGTTAAAATGACCTAAACCAATACACATTCACCAAGCCCAATCAGAATTAAAAACCAAGAAACCTCTATATGGTAAACATATAGCAAAGCATGAGATTAAAAGAAACATAAGGGAAAGCTCACAGATTGATAAGGTTGGGTGTTGGGTTATCAACAGAGAAGACACACCCAGACTCCTCGGCCTGCTGGATGACGGCGTCGATGTCGCTGATGTCGGTGACGGATTCCAAAACTTTCTTCTGCTGACTCTTGTAGAACCTTCCTTTCTCTTTGGCTTGCTGTATCAACTGGTTGTGGTGCTTCACCAGGGTTCTCCCTAAACCTGTCTTCTCGTTCTTCCCCATCTTTCTCTGAACAAAACCAGATAAATAATACCCCCAAATTCTCTATCAAATCAAACTGTTGCACACGATTATTTTACCCAATAATCAAAGACGCAAACTTTAAATCCCCTTTTCTCTTTGAACGTCGGTTCTCGGCCGGCGGTGGAGGGGAAAAGGAGGAACTGAATACGTTGGTGGCTATGTTACAGCCTTTAAGCTTTGGAAAGGAAAGAGCACGACGATTTTACGCCTTTTCTTTATTTTGCTACAGTAAAGGGCCTAGATTTTATTCATGGGCCGGACTGAATACCCCGATATGATTACGGGCAAGGCCCATGGCCAATGCTACAAGATATTAGAAGTTGGGTAAGTAAGCCCAATGCTACAAGATACTTTAAGCTCTGGAAAGGAAGCGCATTCCTCAACGACTCTTCTTTGTCGAGGGCCTCATCTCTATTCATGGGCCGGGCAGATACTAAAAATTGGGTAAATTAGCCCATTAGAGGTCACAAAAAATCCCACCCAACTTTCCAAAATGAATCGAGATATGTTTATTTTACAAATGGATAATTTCGAAAAGGTTTTTTTTTTTTTTTTTTTAAAAAAAAAAGTATAGAGTTAGGTACCAAGATACATCATATTATCAATTTATAATATTACATAATGTTATATTTATAACATTTTCGATAAAAATGTGTTTGAGTTGCGTAAATATGAGGGGAAAGGGCAAAAAGAATTTGTTTTGTATTATATTTATAACATCCTCGGTTTGAAAGAAATAAAATGGTAAA